ACAATATTAATTAAAAATAAATTTTTAAACAAATCATCTAAATTTTTTTAAAAAAAGATGATATGTACTATACTAATCTCATAAATTTAGGCTTGTTTAGATATTAGAATGTTTATTGATGTGATTATACATATTTATAATTAATTTATATAAAAAAATAATTTAAAATAATAATTTAAAATTAATACATGGTGTTTTTTTATACGTATTTATCGCATTTAATTTTAGAACCAGTACGCATGCGGTAAAAGATTTGCCAATTTCGGGAAAAATAGTAAAAAGGAAGAATTCCCACTACAAGATCAAGATTCTATACAGAGAGAAGTTTTTTTGTTTTTTTTTTTTTTTTTATATATATATTTTGGTTGCATGATAAAATAGGTAACTATCTCTTTATCTATTATGTAACTTCATTTACATGTAACTCCAAGACAATATCTCTTACTTTCGTACCTCCGTCAACCGCTGGCTAATGGCAGCAGCAAATCCAAACTCAAAACAGCCGACCGTCTGCGTCACCGGAGCCAACGGCTTCATCGGTTCATGGCTCATCCGAACTCTCCTAGAGCAGGGCTACACAACCATTCACGCCTGCATATACCCGGGTTCAGATGCCACCCATCTTTTCTCTCTTCCCGGCGCCACCGATCCACATGTACAGCTGGTGATCCACGAAGCAGATGTCTTGGATTCCGATGCCGTGTGGAGGGCTGTGGAGGGCTGTCAGGGGGTCTTCCACTTAGCTTCTCCCTGTACACTCGAGCACATCAAGGACCCACATAACGACCTAGTGCTGCCGGCCGTGCAGGGCACCCTCAACGTGCTAGACGCTGCCAGAAGGGCCAAGGTCAGGCGGGTTGTGCTCACGTCGTCAATCGGGGCCATTGTACCGAACCCCAATTGGGATGCTAACAGGCCCTTTGACGAGTCATCTTGGACAGATCTTGACTACTGCAAGGCTCAACAGGTGTGTTAGTATTTTTATTTTTCTCCATTTTCAGTGTGCATCATCAATACAAGATTTTGTTTTTGTCTTTGTGTTATGGAAGAAATGGTATCCTGTGTCAAAGACGCTGGCCGAGAAAGCAGCATGGGATTATGCAGAGAAGCATGGAATGGATGTGGTGGCCATCAATCCAGCCACATGCCTGGGACCACTCTTGCAACCTAGCTTGAATGCGAGCTGTGCAGTGTTGCTGCAGCTGCTGCAAGGTTCCAAAGATACTCACGAGTATCAATGGGTGGGAGCCGTGCACGTTAGAGACGTGGCCAAGGCACACCTATTGTTATTTGAATCTCCTGTGGCTTCTGGCCGCCACCTCTGCACCAATGGCATCTATCAGTTTGGTGATTTTGCAAAGCTAGTCTCCAAACTCTTCCCCGAATTTCCTGTCCACAGGTCTGTTCTTTCTCATCTGCTCTTACCAATTATGGTGTGCATTCTCTTACCAATTATGCTGTGCATTATGTACAAGAGCTTGGCTGTTTCTGTTAAGAAAGATAATGAGTCCTAATCCTACTAGCAAATCTGAATTAAGGTAGGACATCGTCTTTGTTTAATGTATTTAGTTATTGAAGGAAATCATGATTGAAGAAAAATACAATTATGATTATTATTATTATTATTATTCTTGAGATTAACTTTTTATTACAACAAATTTGAATTGAATATCTAATTGTTAGCAACGGTAATATAATTATAATGATTGTGATTTCTGAGAATGCAGACTCACCACCTATAATTTACAATCCTCCAGTGCTTATAACAAAGTAAATCAGAGTTATAATGTAATAATCTAATTCCAATGCCTTGGAATTTGGATGCATTTCAAAGCCTTGGCCTAATTTGAAACAGCAGATACTGGTATTTAGTCTCCTGTGCATTTAGAACTGGCTGGAAGAAGTTACCGAGGATAACATATCAGTTGGTGGTTATTGCATTAAGTTGACTTGGCAAGTTATCATGAAGAAATGAAGGAAATCTTTAAGAAACTAAATCCACGGAAATATATCAATGCAATATAGAACTTATAATGGAATCCTTTCTTGGAGCTGTGATCAAATCCGCACAAAAGCTCATGATAAGAATGGAAAAGTGTATAATTCCACATCATATGGTGCTTTTATTTTATTTTATTTTATTTTTTGAATTGGGAAATCATATGGTGCTTTTATGGAAATGGGATTAACTTTATCGTTTTGTTTCAAATGCCTATCATGTCATGATGCCCCATTACTTCTGTCATGATCTAGTTCTGGTGGCAGCCCTGTAGTAAGTTGGGAGCTTCTCTCATTGCAGTTTTGATTCTTCCTTGAACATTTCCTACATGTGTTGATGGCATAATTACTAATCATTAAAAGCACTCTTCCACCTTTATTAAAATTATTGTTATGATTAGATCTTGTTTGCAATTCATCTACTTTGAGGATATATCAGTTTCAAGAAATAATTTCACAACTCTCTTTTATATTGATTTTCCTTTGAATAAGTTCTTTAATTTATCTGGTTTGGCCAGAAAAATAAATAAAAAAATGAAAGCTCTTTAATTTATCTGATCATTTGAGAGCAGGTTAGTTGGCAAGCGTGGGGCCAAAGGAAACAGGACAACCTGTATATGTTGTTGTCCATGAATATTGGGGGTGGGGGAAGAAGTGTGCAAAAATAAAATAGAAATCATCATCATCATCATAAATCTGAGCCCCCTCTGAGCTTTTATAGATTCTTTTTTTATTTGGATTATTATTTATGTTCTTTAACAGAAATGAACATGTATCCTCTACCGCTTTTGCTTTACCAAGACTCATGTTTGGTTTTACATGATTCAGGTTCACAGGGGAAACTCAACCTGGCCTGATTGCTTGCGAAAATGCAGCCAAGAAATTAATTGATCTGGGGCTAGTTTTTACTCCAGTTGAAGATGTTGTCAGGGAGACGGTAGAGAGCCTGAGAGCTAAAGGCTTCGTGGGGCAGCATACATTACAATCTTAATCTCTCTCTGTCTCGCTCTTAATTATTATTACTCTTACAATTTTACAATCTGTTATGTTAATTAGCTGTCAGTAAGTATGAATGGAGTAAGGGGTTTGTCTTTCTCAGTCATCTGTTTTGATGATGCGTACTCTTTCTTTTATATGGTGCAAGTGCAACTTTAATCCTGTATGTGGTTATCAACTACCAGTTTGGGATCAAATTCGACTGTATTATAAATAAATGAATGAGTACAATTTAGGCGAGTTATCTTTCATGCAAGACTGGATGAATGGAGCTGTCATTTACCAAGATACATCTACAAAGAGGCAGTGGCAATTTGGGAGCTGTCAGTTTGTATCTGCAAAGGGCACGTGATTGGGGACCTCTGGACATATAAGGGTGTTTTATTAAGTAGGACCAATGTTGTTACCTTTAACCAGGCAAAGGTTATGTTATCTATTGAGTTCAAGCCTCCATCATTCTGGCTTTGGATTATATTTCTATTTCTTCCTCGGTCGTTGTTCTTTATTTTTATCTTCTAAAAAAAGAAAAAAAAGAAAAAAAAAAAAAAGAAAAGAAAAGGGCTACCAACAATCCATGTGCATCGCCCTCCCCACCTTTGGTTCTTGTTGCTTTTTAGCAAAGAATCTATCTTTTATCTACATAGTGAGGGAGAGTGTATGTTGCTGTTCCGAACTAATCATGGAGGTTCTTCTGGCACTGCATGTGCGTTAGGCAGTACGGCCCACTGCGCATTATTCTATGTATGCTTCTCAGCCTGTCCTTCTAACCAATCTTTAAGCTTCCTTGACTTATTTGTTTCTTAAGCATATATACACATATATCTCAATTTCCGACTTGCAACTTGCAATGAACAGTCCTGCGACTTGTGGCCGCTCTTGGTAATTAACTTCTGCTTCACTGTTGCATAAAGTCGTAATTAGAAATTTCTAACTTTTTTCTCTTGATTTTCCAAAGGTCCATCAGCGAGGACTCACTGAGAAGGTACGTGCAGTTTGCAAGTGAGAGCTGTATCCAGGAGTTACTCTCAGCATCCGACACAAACAGATATGGGAATGGGAATGATGGATGGAAGGTTGTCACTCTTGACAATGGAGTGGAGATATCAAAGCGTAGGTCTGGATCCCTTCACGCCTTTCGCAGTCGCTGGTTGCTCAGATCAATCTCACCCCAACAGTTCATCACCGTTGCCAATACCATAGACGCTGCCAAGGTGATCAATTTTAATTAAATGTAGATACATACATACATATAGACATAGAGGTAAACAACGAGCATCGGCGCTATTGCTCCAACAATCCTCTTTCCGTTCACACTCCAGTCCCGCGCAGTGTGCATTTGATTTGTCTTCACTTGAGCATTGTGGGAAAAAAAAAAAAAACAACTACAGCTGAATTAGACTTCACGCTAGCTAGAAAATTAAATACCATTTTGTCTTCTTCTAGTTAAAAAGAAAGCCATCGGATTAATTGTTTCTCAGGCCATGGTAATTTTTTTAAATTTGGTTTCTTTTTCCTTTGTTTTCCATAACAGCAATGGGATTCTGATCTTGTGGAAGCCAGATATATAAAAGATGTTGAAGATAATCTAAGCATAATCCGTCTCAGGTATGGGGAAAACTCCAAGCCTCTTTTCAGAAACAGAGAATTCATAGTCTACGAGAGACGTGAAACCATGGAAGATGGCACCGTGGTAAGTAGGCAGGGGGAACCTCATTTGAATTCCGTTCCAGTATATATGTTCACCGTGTGTGTACTGCTTAATTTAACTTTGGGATTTTTAGGTCGTAGCAGTGGCTTCACTGCCAAAAGAGATAGCCGCAGGATTGCAGCCAAAGCAAAATAATGCCATCAGGGGGTTCTTACTGCAGTCCGGTTGGGTTGTGGAAAAACTTGAAGATGGCTCTTGTGCAGTCACATATGTTGTTCAGGTAAATACACTTATGCTTTTGTGTCTGCAATTTTTGAATGCTTAAGTAAGAAATTAACTGCTTGGTGACTAAATTGCTGTCATTTACAGTTGGATCCTGCAGGATGGTTACCCAAGTGCTTTGTGAATCGGCTCAATACCAAACTTGTTATGATCATTGAAAACCTTAGAAAACTGGTGCAAACAACTAGTCCTGCTAGCCACGACCATACATAACTTGCTTGCTGCTCTCTCAGTTACCAAGTTGCCAACTTGTTATTGGAAGGTCTACAGCTAGTCCCCAAGCAAGCACTAAATAATTAAGTCAACTTGTCCTAGCTGGCTATCTATAATCTTGATTATTGTTGAATGCAAGGCTACGTACAGGCATGATTCAAAAAAATCTTTTGCAAATCTTTGAGAATTGTCTATTTTATTTACGTATGTAAGTAAATCATGACTCTATACTAAAAGGTGGGGGGAATTGTATATCACCCGAACTGAACAAAGAAAACTCACATGTAGGAATCTGTAAGTCCTTTTTGTTTTCACTATTGACTAGTGTTTGTGGAAGAATTCGTCAAAAAAAAAAAAAAAAAAAAAAGGGTTAATACCAGATCCAGCCAATATAGATTCGCTAGATCACTAATCAGATGGTGGAATTTGTCCTCTGGAGCCATTGGGAATTTAAAGAGGTTTTGGAGGGTAGCATAGAATTGGACTGCTCGATTAAAAATGCATTAAGAATTGAAGAAGAAATGCAATCCACAGCAGATGAACCAAAATAGACCAGCTGCTGTGTGGTTGCAGGGATCCTATCATGTCACTGTCAGTTAGGAACGGGAAGCTCCGACGATGATTCATTTCTGTCCAAGGAATAGACTAAAAAAAATTAAAAATATAAAGTTTTGAACTCGAAGGGAACGACGGCAAACAATCCATACATTTTCAAAAATGAGAAGACATGAAAAAATATATATATATATATATAAATTTATAAAAATATTTTTAATGAAA